GTTTAGTTTTCTAGGGTGATCGAACTTAGGAAGATAGCAGGGAGGAGAGAACGGTGGAGGTAATTCATGAATCAGACAATAGCTTCCAAATACATATATATATACATATGTATATATTTTAAGATTTATTTATTTATGCATACAGAACTGGGGTATGCGCCACAGGTGCAGGGGTGGGGAGCGGATTCACCAGAGACAGTGGGGAGTAGAACAGGCCGACTGAGGAAGTACACTGTTGAGGGGAGCAGCAGGTGTGTCAGGAGAGGTCTGCCACGCCATGTGGGTCACCTCTGGGGCCGGGATCGAACTCATGCTGAAGCGGCTTTAGCTTCTTAGTGCTGTGCTTTAACCCGCTGCGCCACCAGGGAGGGCCCAAAACTATATATATTTTTTATTGTGGTAACCTGGGTTTACATCCGTATATGTGATTTAGGGGTCAGGTTCTCATTTCTTCTTACGTATGTTACCATACCACACCCGCCACCAAGGCATCAATACTGCTCCACCATAGTCCTTTGCGCCCCTTCTGCACATTCCTCCCTACTCCTAGCACCCTCTGAACCTCAGTTCTGCAGTCGGGTTTCTAGAGTTTGTTTTGATTTAGCTTGACCGTTCCTTTGTTTTCTCTATAGTTCACATGTGAGTGAAGTTATTTGCTATTTGTCTTTCTCCTTCTGACTTATTTCACTTAGCATTATCCCCTCCAGTTCTATCTACATATCACAAAAGTTTCAAGGTCTCATTTTTTTTTAAAAAAGCTGAGTAGCATCCTATCATGTATATTTACCACATCTTCCTAACCCCACTCATCTGTCCTTGGCACTTAGGTTGTTTCCCTAGCTTTGCTGTTCTAAACAGGGCTGCAGTGAACACAGGAGTGCATTGGTCCCTTCTATGTAGTGTTTTGCATTCGTCAGGAAGATACCTAGGATTGGAATTGCTGGGTCACATGGTAGACCTATTTTTAATATTCTGAGGTACTTCCATACTATTTTCCATAGAAGCTGGACCAGTCTAAAACCTCCCCCCCCCACAATAGTGTACAAGTGTTCCTTTCTCAGAGAATAGCTTTTGAATATTGTGTTTGATACTGCTTGTTACGGCTGTAAGAGAAAGAGATCAAGCAAGTGGCTTATGAACAGTAAGGACAGGGACAAGGGGAGGGGGAAAGAAGGAAGGGGTCGTGTTGGCCTTGAGGTGGCTTTTGGTCTGGAACAGTTTGGTGGCTACTGGGAGACCCGAGAAATGGCCCATGGTCCTTAACTCTCTGAACCCTCTTTCCTTGTCTGCTGTCTCATGAGATGATTGTGGGGAACAAAAGGGATAACATACACTGACTAATTCTGAAACCATGAAAAAGGTTAAAGAATACGGGCGAGATTCCAGAAGGAATTTTAGAATCATTCCCCACAGCTGGCCTTTCGGCTGGTTCTTGTAATTCTGTCCCCCTCATGTATCCAAATTTGTCTTCTCCCTTCAGCTCTGCGAAATCCAGTTCAGGGCACCCACCAGCTCTCCCCCTGGCCTGGAATACCCGCAGACCCCTCCTGTCTGCTCTCCCAGCTTCTACCCTTGCTCCTCCACCTCATTCTTCACCTGGCAGGGTATTTATAAATATGGAAATTTAGAAATCCTCCAGCTCTCCTTTGCTGGTTGGTACAGGTCTTACCATGGCGTGTAAAGGGGTCCTTTGTGGCACGACCCTCCCACCTCTGCAGCCTGCTCACCTCTCTTCTTCAGTTTGGTGCCTGTGTCCCCTTGGATGTCCCCCCAAGGGTTTAAGCCTTCACCAGCTCCCCACCCCCAACACCTGGTCTCCTCTGGTCCCTCTGCCAGCGAAACCAGCCTCTGTGGGCTCCTCTACTGGCACCTGGGCACCTGTAAATGAGGCCTCTGTTCCTTATTCCACTTCAGCTTTCTGTTGTTTTAAATTGTTATGTACAGGAACATGAAACTCATCATCTTAACATAGCTTACAGTTAGTGTACATTCTTATTGTGCAACCGTTTTCCAGAAGTTGTCTTGCAAAACGGAAACTTTGTACCCATTCAACAGAAACTCCCATCCGGTCTCTGCCAGGTCGTTCTGTTTTTTGTTTCTAGGAATTTGACCACTCCAGATCAAATTCACATGATGCGGCCATGTCCCCAGCTTTGCTGCCTTTCTGGCCTTAGCACAAGGTCCTGTAGCTTCATCAGCACCAGGGCCAGTGCCTGTTTGAGGCAGAATAATCCCCTTTTGTATCTTGCATGCATGGACCACATTTCTTCTCTCCATCCTTCAAACCATAGACACGTGGGTTGTTTCTGCCTTTTGGCTGTTGTGAAAAATGCCGCTGGAAACATGGACGTAATTGTACATCTTCACGATCCCACTTTCATTTGCTTTGAGAACTGGCACAGAGTGAAATTGCTGGGTCACCTGCTAATTCTGGTTTTATTTGCTTGTTTTCTGTAGTAGCTGCATCATTTCACATTTCCACAAACAATGCCCAAAAGTTCCAGTTTGCCCACATTCCTCTTGCAAGTACTTGTTATTTTTTTTTGTTTGTTTCTCATTGTAGTCATCCCAATGGGTAGGAGATGGCATCTTGTTGTGATTTTGAAATCGTCTTTTTCCTAGTGAGCGTGATGTTGAGCTCCTTTCCATGCACCTTATTAGCCTCTTGTATGTCTTGGACAAATGTATATCCTAGTCCTTTGCCCATGTTTACTGAGTTGTGGCTCTTTGGCCTCTGGGTTCCAAGTACATGAGAACTGGGTACCAGCTAAGCTCCATGAAGGCAGAGCTGTGCCCACCTTGTTCACTTCAACCCAGTGCCCAACTCAGAGTTTTGCACTTGGTCTAGTGGTCACCGAATCAAGTGTGTAGCTCTCAACAGTGAAGAAAAGAAAGAATGTATGAATTCACGCATTCCTTCTTGTTGCAAGGGAAATTCAAGGGCCCGGGCATATCTTTTGGAGCCATAGAATTTGGAGTGAAGAATGGTAGGTGACCCTGAATAGCTCGTGAAATGGGTAACTGGTCAATATTATTTCACTGTTTCTGCACTGTGTTTGTTTGGTTGAGTATAAGTCCTATTTTACCTAATAATGCTGGTCTTTATAATGAAACTTACCATGTGTTTAGTATTTTACCACTTCAACATATGATGTGGGATCATTGCGTTTAAAGTAAGTAGGAAAAATGTAACCCCGTTTTCACAGATGGCAGATCAGAAATGAGCACCTGTGTCTCCCTCCCCCCCAGCTGTGTCTTCTCCTCCTGCCCTCTGCCTGAGTGCCTGGCCAGCTCCTAGCCCCTTGCGTGGGGCAGTCACTTCTCACCATTGTCTGCCCTGTCAGCCTCCCCTACGTCTCTTCTCTCCAGACACATCACTCTTCATGGCTGCCAGAGTAAACTTTCTAAAACCCAGATTTCATCATTTTCTGTTGAATTTGAATTCTTCGATGTTTTTGTGTTGCCTTCAGGTTAAAGCTCATACTTTATCCTGAGGTGCCCACATGGCACACAGATCTCATCACCCACCACCAGGGCTGCCCACTGCACCCAGCCCTCCAGCCTCTTTCCTGAAGCCCTCTGAAGGGAGGGCCTGGACCTGCGCCCCAGCCTGCCTCCCCTGCTTTTCCCGAGTTTCATGCCCTCCCCCGTCTGTCCCGTCACCCCACCTCCACCCCGGCAGCATCTGCCCTTGCTCCCTCTGCTCTGCCCTCACTGCGTCTCCTGCTTGTTTGCCTCCTACCTGCAGGGTAGTTGTACTGTTGTCGGTCACGCCCTCACTGGTCTGTGGACTCTGAAGTCAGAGGAGTGCCTTTTCTCTCCCTGTTTCATCAGTCAGCCATGCGTCTCAGTGGCTGGGGTAGGGGGCAGGGGGGAGGAAAAAAGGAAAGTGCTTTTGATTTCAAAGTTCATAGTGTGTGCTTGCTGTCCTGGCCACTTGTCATCTCCCTGGCCTGTCACCCCTCATCCCCCATCACACCCTCCCTCAGGGTGGTGGAGGCTCAGGGCTGACCCTCTGAGTGACCCAGTCTGCTCCATATGGTTCGGCTCTGAGACTCGTCGACTCTGGCCAGTGCATCAGTAAAGAGAGATGACTCATGCATGTGACTCAGGGCGAAGGCAGTAGGAAAGGCAGCCCAGTGTCTGTACAGGGAGGAGGCTGCAGGCAGCAGGGAGCTAGCTGACTGCGCCAGGAACTCTGGCAGCCCCTCAGCCTGCAAGTGGAATGAGGGCATCCATCGCCTCCTGTCCTTGGAGAAAGGCTGCCACGGCAGAGCATTACAAGCCTATCACTGGGATTCTGCTCAGTGTATTACTACTAAATAATATTTCCATCAAGTACCACGTACTCCATGCTCACCACAGCTATAGGCACTGTGATAAAATCTGTACAAATTAGCTCACTTCATCTTCACCGTAACCCTCTAATAACACCAAGATTAGCAAATACATGTATAGTGCTGACTCTTGCGACCTGCTGTTCTAGGCACTGTGCTTTTATTACCTCATCTCATTCTCCTAATTACTCTACAATGCAGACACTATGATTGTCCCCATTCTACAGTTAGGGGAGCAAGGCACTGAAAGGTTTGTAGCGGTGTCCCAAAGTCACTATATGACAGAACTGTGATACAAATTCCGGCTTCTGAGGCCACACTGTTAACCCCACGCTACGGAAACTGCAGCTCAGAGAAGTCGATGGTGTCCCGGTTCCCACACAGCGAGGGAGGGGCTGTCTCCGACGCCCTAGCCACTGTGCCCTCCTCCCCTGGTCTGGGAGATGGAATCACTGGGATATGTGTGCGTGCGGTTCTCTTGGCATTTCTTCAGACCAAGTCCAGAGGTTGGGGGGCTTCTCAGGCAAAATTCCTTTCTTCTGAGTGTAGGGTGGCAGCAGAAAGGAAGCACTTGGTGTACATTCTCCTTCAGGTCTCTTCAGTTAGGGTCTCAAAGCATCTCCACGCCGCAGGATGCTGACGTGGCTCTGGTTACCCCCACAGACAGCGAGACCATGCACTACCACTACGGCCCGAAGGACCTGGTCACCATCTTGTTCTACATCTTCATCACTATCATCTTGCACGCTGTGGTTCAGGAGTACATTTTAGATGTAAGTGACATGTCTGGGGTAGGAGGTCTGAGCCTGGGGAGGTGCTGTGCATTGATTGGATGGGCTCGTTTTGGGGGGCTAGGCAGCCCTGAGCCCTGTTTCCCCCTGATTTATGTGACCCGGTGAGTCTGACTGGACTTACCTTCCAGCCTTTCCTCTGAGTGGGGCGCCAGTATTAAGCGGGGAGAGAATCACCTGAAATGGGACAGGGCGGCAGCTGTCCCATCTGTGGGGATGTTTTCTCTTCATCTCCATGAAAGGCATTAATCTTGCCGCCTTGCACAGTGCCTGCTGTACACTGAGTGCTGTACATACACAGTAGGCTCACACTACCCTACGTCACACTTCAGCCCTTTCGAGGGAAGGAAACAGGAAATTGAGATCTGCCTGTTACCAAGACACACGTTTAATAAGAGGGGTTCTTTCTATTCTTTAGAAAATCAGCAAACGGCTTCATCTCTCCAAGGTCAAACACAATAAGTTCAACGAGTCTGGACAGCTGGTCGTCTTTCATCTCAGCTCGGTGATATGGTGCTTCTACGTGGTGGTGACGGTGAGTGGGCCTGGGGCTGTGCAGGGCGAGCCGGGGCCACCAGGCTGCATGACACTCCTGGGGCCATGACTGAGCCGACTGGGAAGGGCTAGTGGGCAAGAAAAAGCTTAAGGAGCACTAGGGAATCTTGGGGCAGTTTCTTAGAGCTGAAGCTATTTTTGCATCCCCATGGTATCACAGTGAGAGACAGAGGCCAAATGACATGATAGGATGCCAGTTTATGGCTAGAGAGAGTCATTTTGTCCAAATATAAACACATGGCGTGGTTATTATGCAGTGTGACTGTAATGATACCGTATGTTGCCATAGCACTGCGTCAGCTTTTAGGCCCTCTGCATATGCTAGCCCATGAGATGGATTTTGTTTGTGTTGGTACCATAAATTAGCAAGAACCCCAAACTCTTGTTTTGTGTGTGTCCATGATCATGTGGTTTGGAGGTAACAAGGAGGGGGCTTGGATTAGGCAGCCTGGCTCTGGGTCCAGGGCACTTTCTCTTTCACCACATTGGGCTCCTGCAAGTAAGGCCAGCATCACCTTGTCCCCACACCCGATCCTGTGAGCCAGTACTGTTCCAACAAACGTCTGCAGGAGCAGGAATTTATCTAGCTCCCTGTTCCACACAATGGGACTCTTATTTCAAGCAACCTTTGATAGAGTAAAATTCCTCGGTACAGTGAAATCTTAGTCCTTTGGGGTTCACAGTAACACAACCTGGCCTGTCATGCTAGGAAGTATTTAATTAGTAACCCCTCTCTCCCCCCCCCCCCCCCGCCCCCTCCTACACACATGTTTCTATAGCATGGTCTCTTTCTCATGAGCTAGAATATCGTGTGAGAAACCCAGACTAGGAGCTTTGAAAATCCTGAGACCTTTAAGAAATTTCTTTCCCTGCCTTCCAGTGACCCCTTACCCCCTTCCTCTTTTTTTCTTCAACACTGATGACATGCACATCCTAAGGAACTCTGTCTCCAGAGCTGAAGGCTAAATGCATATTCTCGTAACAGGCACCTGCATGTCCTTTTTTACATTGCTCTCGTTTCTGTTACTGTTTCATCCAGAGCAGGGTTCCTAAACAGAGCACTAGGGATTTAAAGTGAAGTCTAAGACTTGTATCCTCTGATGCAGGGGTGCCGTCTTGCTCTGTCTAGGGTGGGAGGGGGGTATGTACTGCTGAGTGTCTTTGTCAGTGGCACCCCTCTTTTTGTGCAGTGTGCATCGTAACCCAGGGAAGCTGAGGTGCTGCTGGACTTCAGACCTCTCCCAGTCCTCTTGGGTCATGCTGCCTCAAGGCCTCAAGGCTATGCTTTGAGGCAGCATAGCCTCAGGGCACCCAGACCTTCATCTGAAAACCATTGCCTCATCTCTGAATCACTGTTACCCTTTCTACCTCCAGACATTCCATCCCAGCTGGGACACATTTAGACCAGATTTGGAGGCCAGCACCCAGCAGTTCACACCCTTCCAGAGTGCGAAGTGCTGAGCTGTTCTGTCTGTAGAGCTCTCTGTTTTGCGAGGTCCTGAGATGATGAGGCACATTAGTTTGGGAACATTAACACTTTTTTTGGGAGAAGCTCCTAACAGGCTTTGATTATGGAGAGAGCCTGTTCTTCACTCAACAGGAACAGGAAATGGAGACCCAGGAGACCCTGGGAAGCTCCAGTGACCCCAGCTCCTGGTCCTCACCTGCCGTATGTGGAAAGACAGCAGTTGAAGGAAAAAATAAAGCTTGGTGCAGCAATAACCTTTTTTTTTTTTTTTTTTTTTTTTGGTTATGATACACATTTTAAAAAATGTATTATTATTTTAAAACTTATTTTTATTTATTTATGCATACCAAAGCTGGGTACAGGCCAGAGGTGCAGGAGTGAGAGGGTTCACCAGAGACAATGGGGAGCAGAACAGGCAGATCTACTGAAATACACTGCTGAGGGGAGCCGAGAGTGGGGCAGGAGAGGTCTGCTGCTCAATGTGGGTCACCCCCGGGGCGGGGATCAAACTCAGGCAATAGCAGTGATAGCATTAAGACTACCCCTAGGCCACCAGGGAGGCCCTATGTTGCACATTTTCTTGATTCTTCTTTGATTTCACCCCACAGTCAGCTCATAAGCAGGTCCTGCCAACTCCACTTCCACTGCACACTGGGGTTGTCAGCTACTGTCTGCCTGTGCCCCCATGTCTGCCTGTGTCCCCATATCCAGTCCAGCAGTTCTCCCCAGGGGACAGTTTCCCCAGGGGACGAGTGATAATGTGCTGCTGGCAGCTAATGGGTAGAGACCAGGGGCACTGCCCACTATTCTGCAATACACAGGACAGTCCCCACAACAAAGAATTATAAGTCCCCCTACCCCGTTAGAGTAGAGCATTTCTACTTGGTGTGATTTGGTAAGTAATAATGGGGGGCTCTGGGAACACAGTGGCCATTCATTTGCATGAATCATTTTTTTGAATGTTCCAAGACCCACAGGTAACCTTACTTTTGGATAAGGGTGGACACCTATTTTCAGCCCCAGATGGCAGTAGTGCCAAGGTTAAGGATCCCCAATCTGCAGTCCTGGCCACTGTCTTCTCTCACCTGGATCATTATCTGTTTCTTAGAAGGAGACTGTTTTCACTTCTACCCATCCCAACCCATTTCCTGTTCAGCCAGATGGATTTTTTTTTTTTTTTTTTTTTTTTGATGTAACTAAATCATGAGTACCCGTTTGCAGCACCACTGCCAGAGTGTCATGGTTTCTCTCTCACTCCCGGGACCTGGGCCCGGCCTGCCTTGCACCTCTCTCCCTGACCCATGTTCTTCCCTCTGCTCTTCTGGCTCCCCTCTCGGAGTGCTCCCTGCTTGCGTGCTCCATCCCCTGACAGCGCCTGGTCAACTCCTCTTACCATACACGTAACTGCCTAAATGTCATCCCCTCCGAGAAATTCAACACCCTCCTCCACTTTGAGTTTTATATCCTGCGCGCCTTACCGTGGTGTTTTTCTTATTTGTGTATATTCCCCACTGTCTGCCTCCCCCAGGAGGCTTTGCGCTTCCTGTGAGCTGGCCTGTGCACCCCACAGCACCTGCAGTTCCCACCTGGCACATCCCCCATGCTCACTAGATGTGGCTGTGAGAATGAAGACCCACCGGTGTCACTTCTCTCTCTTGCCTTCAACAACAATTTTTAAAATAATGAACGCCATAGCTGCTTTATTTTATTTAACAAGCAATATATAACAGTTGGAAAAGAAAGGCAAAATGAATCCTTCCCCCCGAAAGAATCAATTTTGTTTTGGTGTTGATCCAGATCATGCTCCCTACATTTATATAGGAAGAGTGATGGCAGTGTGGCTGCATAACCAGTATGTATAAGAATGTCAGCCTTCTTCTTTTAGTCTGTCTTGAACTGCTACTCCTTGGTCCAGAACACTCTTATGAGGAAAGCTGGTAGGTGAGCAGTTGGGCTCCCTTCCTGACTTCGTAGGGCCGTCCCACTTCATCTTTTTTAAAGATTGATTTATTTGTGTATATAGAACTGGGGTACAGGCCAGAGGTACAGAGGCAGTGAAAAGGACTCACCAGAGACAGAGTAGGGAGCAGAACAGGCAGATGTACTGAAGTACACTGCTGAGGGGAGCAGCGGCGGGTCAGGAGAGGTCTGCTGTGCCATATGGGTCACCTCCAGGGCGGGGATTGAACTCGCACTGAAGCAGCTGCGGCTCGCTTGCGGTACTGAGTCCCAACCCGTTAAAACCTCATGTCCTGTGCTCAGGGAGATCATGGCGGAGGAACACTTTTAATACTGGTGCCTGGATCGGGACTGATTTCTACTAACCCATTGCTTAGAGCAGATTTTTCATACCTTTAGTTCCTAAAGGGCAAATGATACAGGTTTCTTTGAATCTAGGTAGCAACTGTCTGTGTTCTGACTGGTTTCTGCTATTTCTGTGTTCTCTCTGTTCACAATGAGAGGGAAAACGCCAGGGGAAGAGGAGGGGCGTCCTAACTTGCTCGGGCCTCAGTTAACTCAGAGGTCCACTTGTAGAAAGAACCAGAAGTGAACAGAGGATTTCAGAAGCTCCCAGACCTTCTGCCAGTGTCTGGGGGTCGATAGCGTCTGGGGGGGTGACAGATGTTTGCTCTGCCTCCTCCCCCAGCCTCCCGGCATCCCAGCTACGTGGTGTGCCTGGATTCTGAGGGTACCCACAGCCCAGGCCTCCCTCAGGCAGCTGCTGGCGCAAGGTCTGGAAAAGGCAGTGAGTCATTTTCCTCTGGCTCCCCCGCTCCCGCCCTTCAGCTCCCTGCACAGTCCCCATGGACTGGACCTTCACAAGCAGGCAAGATTTTTCAGGGGAGTATTCTTGGCTTGTTGGCCTCAAAGTTCTGTCCCCTTTGTCTCCTAAGTTAAGAGGCCAGACCAAGGAGGGTCCCTGCGTAAAAGCGCGTGCTCATCTGGGATTTAGATTTCTCTCATAGCTGCTTCTCTTGGCCAATCTGTTTTTTTCTTTGGGCAGAAATTCCTCTCCTACCTCACTTTCTGAGGTACATTTTCCTCCTAAGATACATTGCTGTTTTCTCCAGGAAGGAGTTTTCTCACTTCTCTAGTTTCTCTGGAATGAGGGAGAGAGTGAAGACTCTCTGTACAGGCCCCAGGTACTGATGGAGCATGGATGAGAGAGATGGGTGGTAGTAATGTGAGGGAGGAAAGCTCTGCTCCCAGCCCCCAGACACTGCAGATCCTTTCTTGCTGCCTCTGTGTGTTGTGAGCGAGAGAGGCCCATGGTGTGGGACAAGACCAGAAATGAGGCCACGGGAGCTGTAGGTGCGACCTTCCTCTCAGACCTGAGTGCTATGTTTACAGTTTGCTTATGTATCTGATTGCAGCCAGCTAAGTCATGGTACTAGTGAGGCCCCAGGATGTGGTATCAGGGATTTAGGACTAGCCGGGAACTGTCCAAGGGCATCAGGTGCTGCATAGTGTGAGGACGAGCCCTCACCTGGTAATACGATTGACAGTAACCAGTGTGTTTCTCATTCTCCCACGTGGCCTCCTCCTCCTGGGTACTGGTGAGTGCTGCCCTTTGTCCCAGGATGAACATTGGGGGTTTTCCGTCTTCTCATTGTACATGCCACCTCCCTCTGTTTTCCTGACTTCCTAAAGCAATCTGGCCTGAGGTTCCTGGACCAGGAAGCTGGTAGCCCAGCTGAGGTTTCAGCTGTGAACCATTTCAGGAAATCTTTCCTGTTGGTTCCTTCATTTTCCTGTTTCTAAAAGGAGGTCATACTCACCTAATCATCTGTCTTTTCTAAGTGATACCTCAGAACCCTTTTTTTCTTTCAGAAGAGAATTCCCCTGTACTACCATTATTCACTCAGCCAGCAAGTTTGTATCGGCCTCTTGCAGTGTCAGCAACTGTTGCTTGTGGTGCACTGTTTCCTTGTGTTGTGTGTGGTAAACTCACCCCAGTAAGGGCTTATGTGTGAGCCTGTGCATCTTTGTGAGTGCCAATGGTCTTGGCAACCGCAAAACTATTAATACTGATTTCTTAGATTGGTAGTTCCTGGATTATGCAGGTGGTGTGAATGTGAATTCCAAACCCATGTGAAAGCTAACATGAAGAGACACATTTTGTTTCATCCTGGGCCTAGGTGAGCAGACAGCTTCACCCCCTGTTGGTAGGCCAGCTCTTTCTAGCCTGCCCTTCTCTGAGGTTGCATCCCTTCAAGAGGCTGGTTTTGTGCAGGATCTCAGGTTCCACTTCTCCAGGCCCCACATGGACACAAAAACCCTGACCCCACAGCTTCACCTTATTGTGCTGGCTTTCAGTTCCCTACCCTTTGTGGGTCACTGGGGTTTCCCCTTTAGTATTGTGAGCTCAACTTTGCATTTCAATGGTATTTGTTAGATTCCACCCAGCATTTCTAGAAGTTTTGTGATGGGAGGGTTTTCAGGCTGCCTCCCCAACTCTGTGGAGGCCCTGGGCTAGTTGCTTGAGCTGTAAAGAAAGGTACAAAGACTCTAGTGAGAAGTAATGGAGGCAGCATGAGGAGTGTCATACTTTTGAGGCCTATGGGTGAGGCAGTGGGGTCATGCCTTTCTTTTTATTCATAGTGTTGTAAAAAGCCAAACTAGGGTTTTACTTTTTCCAGTGCATAGTGAGTCTAGAGCTCATTTGCTTATTCATTCTACAAGCATTTCCTGAGAGCTGACATGCCAGTCAAATACTAGATGCTGTCCCATAAGTGATCGCATTTACTTCTAACAATAACTCTGGAAGGGTATTTTTGTCCTCCTTTTACAGATAGCCAACTGATGTTTGTGGAGATTGACTTGCTCAGAGGCTCGAAAATGTCAGACCCATATTCAGACAAGCTCTTCTGAGTCTAGGGCAGCTCTGGGCCTGTAGTTCCTCACACGGAGGCCTTCTGTTACATGTCTCCTGTTCCTTCCTCCAACTGGCAGCTGGGGATTGTGTTTGTTCCTGACCCTGAACCTGCCTGGGGCCTCGTGGGCCTCAAATCTATCTCTCTACATGCTGTCTCTTCTTGTCCACTACAGGAAGGATATTTAACAAACCCAAGAAGCCTCTGGGAAGACTACCCGCACGTGTACCTCCCGTGAGTATTCCCGGGACTTGGTCCCCAGGGAGGAACAAACTGGTCCACTTATCCCCTCATCTCTGAATGGCTGGGGGACACATCCCGCACCCCACCCCCCACGTCACATAGCCAAGTGGAGCGGGAGCTCTCTGGGGTCTCTTACATAAGGCAGCAGTTGCAAGACCCACTCCCAGATCCCATCACAATAGGGGCTAGGATTCCATCAGAGGAGTTTTGAGGGCACCCCAGCACTAGTCTGTAGCAGGTTCCTATGCCACACGAGCCAGCTGCAGAAGGCGGAATCTCCATGAATGGACTTCGTGCCTTCGTGCCTTCGTGGTGAGCTGCTCACATTTGCGGCACTTCCCCTTCTCATCCCATGGCTGATGCTCCGTTCAAGGCTCATTTCCTTCTGTAGCTCTGGTTGAGACACCAAGAGGGCAGCAGCCGGCCCGGTCCTCTTGGGGTACTGCTCTTTGCCTTAGCTGAGACCCTTGAACAGCAGCAGCAAAGGACTGAGTTATAGCTGAGTTCGAGCCTTCCAATGCTGCTCTGCAGATTCAGCGCATCACGTCCCCCTCTTCCCCATGGACAGAGGCTCTAGAAACTGCTCCCTCAGCTCCCCCATCTGCAGGCTGAAGAACTTTCCTCCAGCATACTCATAGCATCTCTTCTGTTTCTTCTACGAGCTTTCTGTGTTCTTGTCAGTGGTTTTGTCTGTGTCGCAGGGTCCCTAGACTGGGGTACAGTGCTTGCCTACCTCCCCCTGCTCCTAGGTGGGTTCCTCACGCAGCTTTGGCTCTCGCCTCTCCCTTTGCTTGGCAAGCACCCACATGAGCTGTCCCCTTAGGGACATTTTTTTTTTCACCCCTCCTGTGTGACTCAATCCCTTGTCTCTAGCTTCCAGGTGAAGTTTTTCTACCTGTGCCAGCTGGCCTACTGGCTGCACGCACTTCCTGAGCTATATTTCCAGAAGGTACGAAAGGTGAGTACTCACTCCCCCTGTTGGAGACCACTGGTCTTCCACTCCCTCCCGCCCTTCCTCTGGAAGCACAAATGTGGGGAATGTCGGGCGTGTGTGGGCTGTGCAGCACTGAGCTGAGTCAGCCCCTGCAGAAGCCCCCACCAAGTCCTCCCTGGGAGCGGTCCTACGTGGTCTGCCGCCTCCCACACTGAGCTGTAGCTTTGGGGGAAATCTGGCTGTCAGATCCTGGATTTCAGATGGAGAGGTTTTTGCCTTCCCCACAGTTCTGTGTTTTGTTTTTTAATGGTTTGCCTCTGAATTATTTCCAAAAGCCCTGTTCCCCAACCCCTGTCTTTCTCAATCCAACTTCGCCCTCTGACCAAGGTCCCAAAGCTGCTGCCTCGCCTACAGCCTTCTCAGCAGCCCGGCACACGGCCTCCGGAGTGACCTGGGACCCTCTGTGTTCAGGAGACCAGTACCACATTGTGCAGGGAGAGGTGGCCTGCACACCTCCACCCCCACACTAGCTCTCTTCCTGTACCTTCATTTCGCTAAGGAATGAGCACATCCACTGTCTGCTTCTCTGGTTTGCAGGAGGAAATTCCTCGCCAGCTCCAGTACATCTGCCTGTACCTGGTCCACATAGCTGGAGCATACATCTTAAAGTGAGTAAGGCCCCCGGCCAGCCAGGTGTCCCTGTCCCCTTTTGTCCAGTCACGGCTGCTAATTCTTTCATTAGTGTGCATTTTAAAGACACCTTCTGTGTGCTCATCCCCATGCCAAGACCCAGAAATGCAAAGACAGCCAGTGTAAGATTCATTATCGGCCTTGGAGAGGGGACAGTTATGGACGTGTAGTAGGGGTGCAGGTGACCATGGTAAGTGCTGTACTACAGCACCTGTCACTACCACGGGAGGCTGATGACTTTGTCAACCAGAGACAGAGCCAGGAGCCTTCCAAGGGATGTTGGCTTTGCAGATTGACGGAGCTGGAAGCCGATGCCTGCCTCAGAGTGGGCACTGTGGACACTGCTGGAGCTCATTGCCCTGGGAATCCCTTTGCTTTGATTTGTAATGAAATATAGAGTAGTTTACTGTGTGGCTGTTCAGAAGTCAAAAGAATTGCTGTTGCATTTGGCCTGCAGTGTTACTTTTATTAAAAGAATCAAACTGATGAATAGGAATGTCTGCAGATTTGGATTTCTTAAACACTACCTAGGTGTTACAGAACACCCTGTACTTTCTCCAGAATGGCATTTTGAGAATTTGCAATGTACAGTTGGCCCTTAAACAACATGGGCTTGCCCTGCACCGGATCACTGTTACGCAGAATTTTTCCTAGGTGCAAGCCCTGCATTTCCGGTCAACCAGCTGAATGTCAGGTGGTTGACACTGCAGATGCAGAACAGAGGTCTGACCAGAAGTGATATGTGACTCTTTCAGCCCCCATGTTGTTCATGGGACATTTCCTAACTTTCTGCCAGGGTACCCAGAGGTCCGTGAACCCCTATCCCTAAGTCCCCATGGCAGGCAGCCTGTGAGAATAAAGGACTTGGCTTATGGGTCAGGAGGAAGGTGGCTCTCAGGTCTGCTGTCCTGTGTCTGAAGACCTAAAACAGGGTTGCCTGCTGGGTGGGTCTTAGAAGAGTGAAGACTGAAAGACGGGGCCACGCTGCTTGGGGGTCATCGGCCTGAGGAAGCCAGTCTGCACTGCCACCCCAGCTGTGGCTGAGAGACAGGCCAGCTGCTCGGGGGCCCTTCCTGCTCTTGGCTCCCTGCTTCCGCATCGCTTCTTCCTATTCATACCTGAAGGCCTGAGGCACCCTGTGACCCACCTTCTCACATCTGACATGGCCCAAGGAAGATGACAGGCAGGTGTTGGACCCTGTTGGGACTGCATCTGTGGGTTCCTGTCTTGGAGCAAAGTGGAACTGTGAGGACAGAGAGCCACAGACACCCCCCCACCCCCAAGTCACACACTCCCCATTCCCAGCCAGTCTGACACCTTCTCCGGGTTCAGCCATCTCTGCTCATTTAGGGGATGTTGCCTCCTTACCTCTCACTTCTGAAAACTAGAAGGGCAGAGACCCTGGGCTGGAGGGTTTCTTAAAAGAGACTGTTGAAGTGCTGAGTGCTTCAGAGTCTCTTTTGGGGAAGAGCTGAGCTCTCGGAAGCCTTCACTCAGAGCACTGCCGAGGCCTCCTCTGGGCCAGACCCTGCTCTCCATCCTAGTAAAGAGGCAGGCCGTAAACGGGGAATAAGTGGATGGTTTCCCACAGTGGTGAGTGCAGTGAAGAAAATAAAGCAGGGTAATGTAATGGAGTCATTTACCCACACAGTACCTTCCATGTGGTGAGGGGCAGCTCTTGTGGGGAGATGACATGCTTTGAGCCGTGAATGACGGGTCAGGCCCATGGGGAGCCACACGGGCAGAAGGATCAGGGTGTGCAGAGGTGGGAGTGGGCAGAAAGCTCAGTGTGGCTGAAGCATAGAAAAGGAGGTTTGAGATGAGGTCATAGGGGGATCATGTCAGGCTTTCTAGACCACGTGACGACATCGGGTGTTTTTCCCTTTAGTCTCTACCATTCTCAGGTTTCAGTGGCCATCCTGATTGATTTTGCACGTCTTCTGTTTCTTCGGGTGTGTTCGGCCAGGTCCTTAGAGCTCCCTGTCTGTTGGGGTGTGCTCCCACTATCTCGATTTTCTGAAGTGCAGCATGTTTTGCTGGCTCTGTAATTTTCACTCTGCAGTGTTTTCACTTTTCTTTGAACTCCAGCTGACTATCTGCGGGAAACTGCCTAAGAAAGCCAGTGGCAGCTTCATGATGAATTAACCAGAGATGTCTGAGTGGTCACTCATGTTTTTAAGAAGTTGGCTCACTAGCACATATGTGTGTGTGTGTGTGTGTGTGTGTGTGTGTTTTCTCCTTTTTTCTTTTCACTAGCGCATATTTTTTAAGTTACGTTGAGTTTTGTTTCCTTGTGTAGCTCTTGACTGTGAAGGCTTAAACAGTGGGGATCCTTTGTATCTCCCCTTACCAGGTGGAGCCCCCCTTAGCAACTTGTTCTGAGCACCTTTTATGTACTTGGTCCAAGGCTGGGAGCTAAATGCAAGGTGACACATGCTGTGAAGAGGATAAGCCGGCTCCTCTGTAGGAGTGGGCAGCCCTATTCTCAATTCTGTGACCCAGACACAAGTCTAGCGGTGGTATTGGGGGAAAATCTTAAAGGAGGGACAGTAGAACTAAATCTGAAGGGCTGAGGCAGGGCCAGCCACGGTAAGTGGGGGCGGAAAGCAGAGCCCGTGGCCCCTGTGGCCCCTGCTCTCATGGCACCTTGAGGGACTGAGGCCCATCTGCTTCTCCCCAGCCTCAGCCGCCTGGGCCTAATTCTACTGCTGCTGCAGTACTCCACCGAGTTCCTCTTCCACATGGCGCGACTCTTCTACTTTGCAGATGAGAACAACGAGAAGCTGTAAGTGATCTGCTAGAGGCAGGGGCCTGGCGGGACCTGGCTGGTGGGAAGGCCCTGCCCTGGGTGGAACTGCCCTTTCCCTTTACATGGAATCTGGGTTATTTTTGCCCTGGATCATCTTATTCTGGCTGTCTCAGCCCTCTAGCTGAGCTATCTCTGTCCTTGACACCTAGACTTCTCAGCCCATAAGCAAACTCTTCAGCTACTCTGGATTCTTCTCCTCACTTGGGGTCTCTTCTGGAGAAGTGAATGGGGCTCCCCTCAAGGTCACTATAGGCTGATGTCCCCTTCTACATCCACGAGCAGGTTTAATGCCTGGGCTGCTGTATTTGGGGTCACCCGCCTCTTCATCCTCACCCTCGCTGTGTTGGCCATTGGCTTTGGACTGGCTCGCATGGAAAACCAGGCCTTTGACCCTGAGAAAGGGAATTTCAACACCTTGCTTTGCAGGTGAGTTGGACAGACGTCCGCCTGGGGTGGTAGGTTAGGGCTTCCTAAACACTGCAAGGCACCCCCTGAATTTGATATAGTTTATGCAGAAGGTTTGAAGGTGGCAGGCCCACTTTCCAACACTCTTGATATTTTGTTTTTCAAGATTTATTTCTTTATTCGTACAGAACTGGGGTACAGGCCAGAGATGTGGAGGGTGAGAGGATTCACCAAGGACAGAGCAGGAAGCAGAACAGACAGATCGATGAAGTACACTGCTGAGGGGAGCAGCGGGCGGGTCAGGAGAGGTCTGCCTCGCCACGTGGTCACCTCCGGGGCAGGCGGGAATCGAACTCATGCGGAAGTGGCTTTAGTTTCTTAGTGCAGTGCTTTAACCCACTGCGCCACCAGGGAAGGCCCCCAACACTCTTGATATTTAACTGGAAATCTCTGGATGTCAGACCTGGTGGGGAGGAGATGCCAGCCTTGTTTCCATCAAAATCATCTTTACTTGCCGGGCCTGGCTGCTCAGACTGCTGTCTGCATCTCAGCCCAGATGGGAATCCCAGCCTTTGTCACCCACCTCCTCATCCACGCTGGGCTTTGTTTGTAACCTCTAACTGACATCACAAAAACATTCAGTTCACAGCCATATTCTCAACAGCTTGACCAGTGTCCTCCTACCACAGCAAGGAAGCCGTGACATTTCACCAGACCCCTGGGCCTGGGTGGGTGTATCATTTGTTCAGCTTTTACCCTACACTAGGTCAGAAGCCACAATACTAGAATAATTTCCACCTTCACCCTAATTCGACTCATTTGAATTCCTCCATCATGAATGGAACTTACCTGAGCCATGTTCTGTGCTGTGAGTATGAGCCAGGCCAGGCCAGGGGCAGGCCGACTGGGCTTGATGGACATCAGTCACCTGTTCCCCATCTCTCTGGCCCTGTCTGTCACCACCTCTGAAGTGCGCAGAGCAGGGACTGCACTCAGCCACGAGCTCCTCCCAGGGGTGGCAGGGCAGGGGTGTGCCAGTGCAGTGGGCCAGGGGCTGTGGGAGCTCACCTCCACTACCTCAGGACTGTGGGCCCGAGCCCGCCCTGAGCCCTCTGTATGCCCCTCCGCAGGCTCTGTGTGCTGCTGCTGGTGTGTGCTGCCCAGGCCTGGCTCATGTGGCGCTTCATCCACTCCCAGCTGCGGCACTGGCGAGAATACTGGAACGAGCAGAGTGCCAAGCGGAGAGTCCAAGCTGCCCCCAGACTACCAGCCAGGCTCATCAAGAGGGAATCCAGTGAGTGCCAGGGCCTGCGGCAGGTAGTGGGTGCAATGTGGAGAGAGGAGGCCCTGGCTTCTTGGGCTCTATCCAGGCCAGTCGTACAGCTTACCCTGGGCCTGGGGCTCCTTGAATGCTGACAAAGCCTGACTGGCTCATGACTGGGATGGGCCAGGGAGGGGTTGTGGGTGGGTCTGGCCCTAACTAGGTGGGGTGCCCTCTTGGCAAAGTGGGATAGGGCAGTGGCTGGGTGGGGAGTTCTGGCAGGAAGCATGTCCACAGAATGGCTTCGGGCCCCCAGCCAAGTTTGGCTGCCTGCTCTCCATACGACACAGTGGCTCTGTCCTTACCTGCCCCCATGCTCTGCATCTCAGTTCCTGGTGCCTGCTGTGTCCTCAGGAGGGACTGAAGATGACACAGTGTCAGGTGGGCCGTAGGGGTGAGACACTCATTTCTTCGGCCTCTGCCACATGTTCCAGTAACCACCCGCCCACTGCCAGATCTTGGGTCACTGCCAGGCTTGTGCTTTCTATCTAGCTCGAGGGCCTGTCTACTCCAGGATCTGCTTCCTGACTCACCTGCTTTTCTTCAGGCGTGGCCTGCTTGGCAAGGGCTCCTGCCTATTTGAACCAGACACGTGCGCAGCTGGGTGTGACAGTCAGGCCTGGCTGTGGGGGTATGGGAGGCTGCAGTCAGATAGGCCTCTGTGATTCAGAGCAAGAACATGGAGATGTTTTTGACAACAGAGAAAAGAGAGAACCATTTTTCCAGGCTTCGGAGTAAGGCCTGTTCCCATGGCCCCCTGTCCTGCTTCCTCCTATGCTGTCTGAGAATATCTGAAGTGACTGGTACCCCTAGAGGCAGGCCATGAGCGAAACTGAGGACACCGCAGGCGGCATCCAAGTGATTCCGTGATTCCAGCCAGGATCTGGCTCGTCTCAGCCTCAGCCTAGATGGGCAGGCTTCTGCCTGTTCCCAGGTTGCCGTGTGTCATCTCAGCTCCCTCCTGCAAAAGGACAGTCAGAGACCAGCGACCTCAAGCTGAGCCCTGGTAGCGGCTGTGGGGTGAGCAGAGCTCCCGGAGCTGTCTGCTGGCATCTACTTGCTGCAGGCGCACAGTGGTGACCCCTTGGCTGGCGTGTGTGCAGTGGCAGTGGCCGCAGGCTGGCCCAGGCCTCCCCTTCCCCTCTGCCGCTCCAGCCCCAGCAGAAACACCATGTCTGTCTCCCTCCCTTCACTTCCTAGGTTACCATGAAAATGGAGTGGTGAAAGCAGAGAATGGAACCTCCCCACGGACTAAGAAACTCAAGTCTCCTTAAGGCCAAAGTGCTGAGAACAGGAACCCTCTCGCGGGGATTCAGCAGGGGGCTGGGAGCCCCGGCTTCCGTCACTGCCTCCCCCTTCCTGCTCAAGATGCTCCGTCTCAAAACAGCAGAAACCTGCCTTTGGATGGGCTTTTCCTCTTTCTTGCTTCTTAACTTTCTTTTCTTATTCCATAAACCATTCTCAATAAAACCAAAAATCTTCCGCTTGCTCTCCCTCAAGCCACCTCATGTCCTCACCTCGGCTGAGTTGGGTTTTCTCGAAGCCCAGGTTCTCACGGTTATTCTGCTTGCCTTCTCTTTCTCTTCTTCACAGCTGCTTTTTCCTCTTTTTACTTCTTAGTTTTACCTTCTTGTGCAATTTTTCTGTGTCTGAATTCTACAAGAGGGAGCTATAAACTTGCAGTCCTGGCCACCTAGCACCCAGTGTCAATCCCCAGGACCTGTCAAAGTCTGGAAGCCTATTGCCAAGGAGCCTCTTGTGGGGCCATAGCAGACCCTTGGTGGTCAAGAAGAGGAAAGACTGGTCCCCTTGGATCATAATCTCCTAGGTGCTGATTAACTGACAAGGCGTATGATCCGATTCTTGAGGCCCAGTGGTGCCGCTGCTAGTCGTAAATGCCCAGGCACTTGGCTTGGGGACGGGACAACTCGGCCCAGAAGGATGGTGTTTACTGCGTTGGGGCCCATGACTGGAGATCTAACCAGTGGCTGGTCCTGGCTTGGAAGTCAGCCCACTCTTACTCTGGTGGGGATGCACGGAAGGAGAACCAATCTTCCCATTTTCTGGAGCAGGAGCAAAGTGAGCAGCGGGCACTTCAGAAAGGTAACATGGTGGAAATGATGGAGGAGCTGACCTTGGCCTTTCCTCAGCAGCCCCAACTGCAGTTGCTTTTTTTGACCATGCACCAGCATTCAAAACCAAATCAAACGGCAGTTAACAAGGCCAGCCAGGGCTGTGGTGGTCCTGAACCCAGACCCCTCCAGCCCTTCCTGGGCCAGCCTCACGACCGACTTCATCTCTTGCTGCAGGAACACTAGGCTTCCCCGTCTCAATCCCCTCTCCAGGTTCCCTGTCCCGAGGGAGGGTCACCTGGCCACTTGCGCTCTGACGTCTCTGCTGAGTGTCCTTTGGAATTATCATCAGCTGCTAAGATCGCTGGGCACAGCTAGAGCGTTTTAGACTGTTTGAGGCTAGAGCTGACTCAGTCACGCTGTGGGTTCCCTGCGGGCTGCTGTGCCAATTGGAGTCTTTCTGCTCGATTCCCTCACCTCCTTCCCCCTCTCCCTCCACTTGAAGACAAGTCAAGTGATGAGACCTGGTGAGCCTTCCAGAGGAGTGAGTGAGTGTGTGAGTTAAGACCCAGACTCTGAGGTGGGAAGGTGCAGTTCTTGGTGGGCACAGGAGTATCAGTGTCATTTCACATGCCAGTCTGCAGACATTACATTAGAAACCAATCTTAGATTGTTACCGACAAAGGGAGAGAGGGGGCTTTTCATCACGGCAGCTCTCCTTCTCTGTGTCCCTTGCATCAGAGGTTAGTTTTAATTTACCAGTGACTGGCCATTCTAGACACCATCTCTTTGTCCAGGATAAAGTTTTAGAAATGAGAAGAGCTACCCTTGGCTTCTTTTGATTGCTTTCAGCAAGTAAGAGCATTTTTGAGAAATACGCCTCTCTCTCTGCCCCCGCCCTCCCTCTTCCTCTCCCCCTCCCCTTCCTAACACCATTTGTGAAAGGGAGGCTTATGCCAGTGCCTCCTAAGCCTGCCCGTCAGCCTAGCTGCCTTCCTGGTTCTCTGGGCCATGTTGGGGGTGTGTTCCTAACCTGCACTCCGTGTGTCTGTCTGGCACAAATGCTGTGCCGCGGCTGGGGAGTCCGATACCAGCCTCTCCCCAGGTGTGTAGGTGTCTCTCCCCAGGTGTGTAGGTGTTCACTGCTACCAGCCGAGGCCAAGTGGGTGTCTTGTTTCCTGCAAGCTTTCCTGCTGCACTATGGTGTGCCTCGGAGGCGGCACCACCAACGCAGGGCCTGGCTGACTTGTGTTTCCTAAAGCCCTGGGCTCATTCAGGGATGTTAGTTCAATCTCAGCTAGGTAATACCCCTTGACACCGGTGTAAGGGCTAGCATCTCACCAGAAATGATTGGAGGGGAGGGGTAATTGCAGAGCATTGTCACCCTCCCTGGCATCAATACACATTTATCTCAGTGGACCCAAGTGTCTGGCAGGTTGGCTTGACGTATCTTGCCAAGGGCTGGAAGAACTCAGGTCCCCTCATCCCGTGAGCGTGTTAGGCTGGCTTGTCTTGGTTGGGCCCCTTTGGCTACTTTCTTCTGTCTTCAGTCCTCTCCTGTTCCCAAAGTGCCAAGCCATCTGTGAAAGTCAGCTCATCCACCAGGCGCGGAGCGGATGCTAATCTACCTCAGTGACCGCCACCTCAACGCCATCAGTGGCGCCCTAGTGCGGAGAGGCCTGTGGGACGGAGACCCTGTGCTCGCATGTCCCCCTTGGAGGCTCGGTGATGGGAAGGTTATTTTTACCACCCAGGCTCAGAAAGCTGCACTATTAATAAGTTACATATGTTCCTATTAAAGGTAAGGGAAGGTCTGGGGGGAGGGGAGCAGGCTGAGCCAGACGGCTGCTGCTTTCCCATGCTAGTCCATTCTAGACCTGCACATCTCTGGGCTGCTGGACTTAAACTGTTGCCCAGAACCTTTTTCATTTCTGTCCCAAGGCAGAAGTTACCAACATTTCAGAAACCAAAATAGACATTGGTGCTCTGTCCACCTTTGCAGATGCTTCTCTCAAAACTCCCAAGGCCTGTTTAGGGGTTCTAAGATTTCACGCTTCTGGATTCTCTTGTGACCTTCATCAGTATTCTTTGATTTTCTTCTAAGTAGTGAATAAGAGGTACAGGAAGAGAGTACCACCCCCACCCCCCCACCCCCCGCCAGAACAGTCTACAACAAAAAACATTCTGCTGCTTGAATGCCTTTTTAAAACTTGGCAGGTGTCTTGTACACTGCAAGTAGACTTCATTCGTGATCTCAAAGGCATTTGCTAAAGGGGAATGTTCCAGAATCTGCAAGTCAGGATGGCTGAGTGGCCTTCCCAACTCAGCATGACTGGAGAACAGTGTCATTTTCAGAACCTGGAAAAATCTAAATAGAATCCTTTTCTGGTATGTGTTTGGCCCATTGAGGAATTCTTTTTAAATTTCTCACTCTTCACCCCCATTCTTACATATATATTAACTCCATTTCCAAGAGGCTGAGGAAGCCCACCCCTTTCCAGCCCTCTGACCTCCCGCCCGCTTGTCCTCAGAAAAGCACAGGACTTACAGGCCTTCTAGTGCTCAGCAACCCCTGCCGAGTTTCCCCCACAGCAGATCCTTACTGGTTTGTGTAAGAAGTGCCTTACTCGCCTGTGGTCATCTGGCCTCCTTGCTCTGTATGTCCAGCCCCCCAGCGCCAGGGCCCAGTAGCTTTCTGTCCTGCGCAGCCCGGGACCCAAGGGCCTGGACCCTGGCACAGTACCATAAAGGGACATGTGTTGTTGACAGTTTGGCCTGTCTGTCTTGGCTTCCCCCTTCCTGCATTGCATGAGGGCCCCACATGTTTTGGTTTTGGTTTTGGTTTCTCCATTGTCACATTTTTGATCCACCTGGTGGCTACAGACACCTGTGAGGCCCCAACCGCAAGCACTTGCACCTCCTATTGAGGGACAGTCAGAGATTTCCAGGGCACTAAGCTCCCCTGTGCCTCTGACCTCCCATGGTAGACCCTGCTCTTCCAGTGCCCCTCTCCCCCCCAAATTACAAAGAAAAGACTCCCTAGTTATAACATCCTCTAATATATTTTGCTTCCCATTCGGCCCAAAGTTGATCTAATCCTGGTGTTTACTTCCCAGTCACAAGTGCTGACTCACAGATACCTGTTGGGCCCTGAGTTCGAGCTTCTCATTCAGTGGCCCTGATGTTAGCCGCAACCCCCGCCCCCAAACCCCCCTCACGCGTGTCCTGCCTGCCTGCCTTTGTCTTGCTCTTCCGGGTTGTGCAATAACTCTCCCAGCCAGTGGTCTCTTCCATGGGCCTTTCTGTTTGCTACAGCGCACTGCTGTTGGGGAGGAAGAGACCCACGGGAGGGGTAATCGTCATCCCTCAGAAGAAATGTTAGCCACTCTCCCTTGTCGCCGTCAGCTCATGCCCCTGGGTGGGTTTCCGTGGCGCTCTAGTAGAACATGTAGCATAATCTTAGAAGTCCATATATCTTTTTTTAAAAAAATCGGTTGAAAAGGAAAACAACCATCTTCATGATAGGGCATTAATAAGTCAGCATCTGGGAATAAGGTCTGCTGTGACACCCGACGCCCTCCCATCACTCTGCCTGTGTTCTGGAGTTTCTTGTTCATGTGAAGAGGGAGGAGACTTTTCTGAGAATCAGCCGCGTGTGGACAGCCCTGTTCACGGGATTGCATCAGCTGTGGTGGTGGCTACACCCGTGACCTTGGGTACAGATTCCAGAGTTTATGGAGGAGACTATAAACCTCATTTTTCAGTTCCTCTTGTTTAATAAACATCTGAAGGGTGAGCTGAGGCTGCTGGTGCCCTGAGCAACTCAATGCAAATTGGACAAAATTGTCTTTGTGTTTTTCTACTTTAGCCTATTCATGTTACGGACCAAATTCAACAAGGAACTCAAGGAACATTTGTATCTGCCGTATTTATGCTTTCATGTTAAAAGGGTTTTTTTTGGGGGGGAGGGGTCTTTTTACTTTCAGTGAACTTTTTTCAAAAATCCTTTTCCACTGTTCCTGTCTGGTTTTAAAACAAATTACAATTTTGTATGGATTTTTTTAAATGTACGTTTTGAAACAAATGATCAACAAATATTTTTGAAATAACAATAAAAGGCATAGAATTATCAGTCAAATTGTCTCTGGTATAATTCTTTATATTCCTTCATATTCCTTTTTAATCTTGATGCTTATGTTTGCTTGAGAAATGAGTTGGCGTCAGTTTTAGCCTTATTTTGAATATTTCTCACTATAAAAGTCATTTCTGGTATAGCCATTTATTCATTGTGGGCATGTGAATTAAAGAATTGGAATTGTGGGTGGAGGACTAGTCATGTCAAATATGGACTCCCAGGCGTGTGATTTTTGCATGTGTCTGTCTGTGATTTTTACATGTGTCTGTAACAGTCATAAAAGTTCAAAGGAGCTGACTTGCCATGATGTTTGGGTAGGTACCTCCAAAAGGAGCCCGCCACACTTGATATGCTCTGTGCTAGGAAGTCATTTGGCTCAGAGCAGGTGGTGGTACCTGTGTGTGTAAAGACCACCAAGTGCCACAGCCGGCCCAGATAGCAGGGAGCCGAGGACAATGTAATGCACTGCCCAGTGGGGGCAGCTGGAACTAGTCACCTGCACTGCCTTCCAGAACCACCGTCAGAGGTGGTCAGGAGATGAGGGCAGCTACAGGGGGCACTTGGCCAAGGGCACCCACTGGTGTGAGGATAAAGCAGGACCCTCTCCAGGTGAGGGGATGGTGCTGATGGAGGTGGAGTGTTGTGGCAGGTGAAGTTTCGGTCCTGCTGTGCCAGGAGTGGCCAGGTAACGTGAGCACTTAACCTTGCTGTTTGTCCATGTGTGTTCCATGTTTGAAGGGTTTGCTTGCTGTTTTTTGCAGGAGGGGTGGTGAATGCTAAGTTTGTGGTACAAATAAAGCACTTTTTTTTTTTTTAAAGTGAACACACTTATCTGCCAGCAGTAATAGATTAGGGAGACCTTATAGATATACATTAGTTTAGACTCTATAGAATGGATTCAGGTGACCATTCTCTGGAAACAACATTTAGAGAACTCTTCACTATCTATTGGTCTCAAATACCCTCAAAACCTGTAGGTTTCTGTTTGATACCCTCTAATTCAGTGGTGTTTTCTAGGCCTCTTGCTGTTATAGGCGGAGTATAGGTCCCATACAGATTAGTGGCTAACTCACAATCAAACCTCATGAGGCAGATTTTACAGGCCCAGAATCCACAGGTCACTCTAAGCCACCCTTTCAGTAGAGTTAGCTACTAGTGTTCCTCCCTCTGCAAATGCTGATGGTGGTACCAGCTCTCAGCTCCTGGTAGCCCATCTCAAGTGTGGCTATTTCATCCCAATCTTGCTGCAGACAGCTGTTCAGCTCTCTTCTACTACCTGCATCAGGTATACACCAAGTGTGACTATGGCATAAGGCAGCATAAGGAGCTCTAACAGCTCAACTTCCACTCAGGATTTCAGTAGAAAAAGTAATTTGTTCTGAGTTTTGTGGCTCCTGTTCTTGGCTGCCTTGTGTACACTGGCAGAGGTCAGCAGAGAATGCAGACCTGCTCACTGGTCTTCCATGAATAACTTTCACCTGCTGATGGTTCTGGCAGGCCTCAACTATACCATCTCAACTTAACTTGTAATCTAGGAGGTGCAAGGTGAGGAGTACACAGCAAGTATTTGTGTGTGTGTGTGTATATATAATGTGTATATATATAGACATATATATATGTCTATATATATATAATGGTTTGCATTACAGTTGAAAAGCTGTGAGAGAATAAAAGGAGAAGTCAGAACTTTTAGGAGGGATATGAGCACTTGGATTTCAAAGGGTGAGTAAGAGGATTTTAAATAACACTTTTCTCTAATGTCTCCATTTTGGTTAAGGACAAAATTTGGCAGCTATCTGCAACACTGAGCAATGCAGACCCATGAAAGACTTGCTGACGAGGAGCGTAAAACTTTGGCTAACTTCTCTCTTCCGCAGGACTCAGTGATGGAGAAATTATTGGTGATTTCTTAACAGGGGCTGTCAGAATGCTGTCGTGTTGCACACTTTAACAGACTCAGCTTGACAGTACCCCTGGAGTTTGGTGAGCATGAGATTTTGGGTGTCTGTTTCTCACCTGGAACAGGTCTCAAAGAAGAAAGCGGCTGGTTGTGCTGACTGACAGCACAGCCAGGAGAGCAATCTAGATGGCAAGATGGGGCAGAAGTAAACACCCCGACACGATGAGTCAGCTGAAGGGTTCCCACCTGAAAGGCCTTCCTGAGATGATAAGAGCCAGTGACCAGTCGGAGATGGGGCCAGCGGCACCTGGCTAGATGGGGAGGTTTCCTGTGGGAAAGTATTGTGAGAACTCGCTGGAAACGGTGCTCTGGGAGCGAGACCGAGCCAAGCTTCCGAACTCATGTTTCAGCTCAATCTGAAGGCAGGAAAAAGTTGATGTTGAAGGTGAGTGTTTTCTCTTACTCAGGAAAGGGTCAGCCTCTCTGCTCTACTTGAGCCTGGAAAGGTTTGGAGGAAGGCCAGCCGTAGTGGGGAGAGCAATCTGCTTTTACTCAGTCTTCTGATTCAAGTGTTACTCTCATCCAGAAACACCCTCCCAGACACTCAGACTAATGTTTGACCAAATATCCAGGCACACCATGACCTAGTGAAGCTGACAAATAAAATAAGCCACCTCCCCACCCCTACCCCTAATTTCCTAAAAAAGACACCAACTTAAACTCCAAGTACCAATTTAATTTACACTTCAGGAGTAGCAAATGTAAGAAGTAAGAAAGAAAACTTCATGAGCTCTGCAAATGCCTCTACAAAGAGTACAAGGTACATTTCAAAGTATAGGTCCAACCTCAAAAAACTGTATTATTCAGCCAGGTCAGTTTGAGAAAGCACGAACAAAGTTGTAGTAGGCAATCTTGTCATCTCCATGGGAGCACATTCTGATTAACTGCAGAAGGGAGAAAAAATAGCCAGTGAGACAGACATGCGAGGCTGCTGCTTAACTTCAGAGTGCACATAATAAAATGACCCAGACACCTAGGGGTTTAGTTCAGAATTTTGTTATCAACTGATTCTGAAATGACCCTGAGAACCTGGGGAGTAGGTCAGAATATTATCCTCATCTCATACTTCATGAACTCAAAACTCAACAGGGTAAATGGCCTGCCCAAGATTTCAGGTTCATCATATTTATAAAGGCATTGTCATTTCCAAAGTACTTTTTGTTTATCCAGATACAAGAATTTGTCTACCGACTCTGTGCAGTAGTAAGTTGCTGTTATCACAGCTTAATAGAAGAATCTAGTTATGTCACATGTTCAAATCATGTCTACTGAAATTCAGACTAGCTGAAGTTACTTGTATAAGACATCCATGCCTCCCTGTCCCACTTCCCACTGACTGCAGTATTTCTCACCATGCCAAGTAACACATCTTACAAATGACTTAAAATGACCAAAGCTGGACATGCTGTCAGTCAGAGATTGTGAAGCTAATCAGTCCATGAGAACATTCTTCTATCTCCCTCCTCCACTCCTTGCTGCCTGTCTGAAAAATGCTTATCTTCAACCTAGTCACTCCAGCCCTAAACAGAAGTCTTTCTAAATGAATCAAACTTCTGAACAGCCCTTTTTGCTGTTCAGAAGATCTACAGGAACTACCTCAGTGTTCTAAATCATTGAGATTGTCTTAATGATATGCCGCAGTTGTTGGCAATTTGGGTAGAAACTTTGCTCTGACTCCTGAAACATGCACTCATGAAAATTCTACAAGTATGTCCACGTCACTCCTCCATTTACAGTTGGCCACATAACGCCTCTCAATGGTGCCACTACCCTTGAGCCGTGGTCAGGCACTCTTCATGCTAAGCCCAAATGATGGGCTACGGCAGGCTTCAGCCATGCCAAAGGCTGCCTCCATCCTGCCCAATCCAACTGTCTCTGTCTTCCTTTGATGGCTGCCCCTCCAGGATCATCCTGTCAGCTCTGACATGGCTTATTAGCCACTTAGGACTGTACAGCCCCATGCCTGCTGCAAGAGATGCCTCCCAACAGAATTAGAAAAGAATGAAATAGAAATCAAGAATGAATAGGATAACTGCTTTGAACATCTTAAGTCTTCCCCCAGTTAAAATGAAGACACAAGAAATTGCCTTTGGGAGAGAATCAAGGTTCTCAGCCTCTGCAGTCAACCCAGGCGAGTACTTATATTGACTGACCTCTTTAATCAAGGAGTCATCAACTGGGATGTTAAGAGAGTCACAGATTTTAAAGAACATCTCTTTGTCCACAAATCCTGAAGCTTCCTTGTCATACTCTTGAAACGTTTCACTGATGTTTTCTTTGCATGGGTGATCTTTCAGCTGCTGGTGGATTGTGTCTATCAGTGCTTCTAGTTCTTGCATTCCTGGATCCTCTTCAGTTTTCTTGCTAGAGAGACAGGAAAGAAATGACTCCATGGAGTGGTTGTTCTTGACCAATCTTATCTCAGTGACCACAGCTCTCACTTGGTGAAGTCAGGGAAGCTTCTATAACAGCTTTGATGGAGAGGGTGACCACTAACTCACCATTTGCCCCCAGGGGCTAGCTGATGGCTGCCATCTACATTAGAAAAGTTACTGGAGGCAGCTTTTGAGCTGAAGCCCAGTTTCCTTTACTGGAATCTGTTAAATCACTACACTACAAAGAGTCAGTCATGAGTACATGTTTCTCTAGTTTGGTGTTTGTGGGAATCACATCTGTCTTGCTACTGTTGCAGATACACATCATCTAAAAATAAATGCACTTATATAAACATCTACATGTATGTATATATACAGTGTAGTCAGGAATTTCTTGAACTTTTAATACTTCTGTGTTTTCTCTCTAATCCACTCCAAATTTTTGGAAAAGTTTTCTATGAGAGGCTGCTCTGTGTGATGATTGAGAAGTTTAGACTTAACACTTACTGAAATGAAGAGAGGTTAGTAGTCCAAAACATTAGGAAGAGGGATGTCTGTCTCTTTACAAGAATAACAGAAGCCTATTTCAATGGCCTCATTTCAGTTTCCTCTAGACATGAAATTACAATTAAAAAAAATGAAAGAATTCAATAACTGGAAAAGATTCTTGTGCTTTATCTTTATAAATCCACTCTTGAACAAAACAGCTTAAATAAACTCAGAAAGCCTTCCTTTTTTTTAATGATAAGAAAAGTGTGGGGGGAAGACTTATCTCAGATAAGGCAGTAGGTTATCCCTGATCTTCGATCTTCGTTAGAGGCAAGATGAGAACTAACAATCTCATTCAAATTCTGACATGTTCTTTCAAGTATGGCCAGCCACTATGTATGAACTGCTTTCCTTCCGTATCTTCATAATACCAATCCACCATTGTTTTATTCTACCTATTTTCTCTTCTGTATAACAGTAAAAAATGCCCATACTTCCAAATGGTCTCTCCTGAATTATTTTCTATTTTTATCTGCTGGAGACCTTTTCTGGGAAGGCATAAAGCGGTATAGCCTTTTGGGAATCATTTGAAACAAGAATTCAGCAAAGAATTTCAAATGTTTTATCGTAAGGAAATAAACTTGAGTTTCATACCAAAATACATCTATAAGGCTGTTTTGAGACAACCAAAATATCCCAAAGTTGGAAATTGATTGAATAGCATCCACCATAACCAGGCAATTTAATGATGATACAACTGTTGATAATGTTGCAGAAAATGTAGAAAGAGGTAGTGAGAAAATCTAGATGCAGAAAATGCAAAGAATACTAGTTTGTCTAAAAGTTGTGGGGGAAAGAATAATATATATTTAAGTTTGCTTTTATTGCATAAGGGAATTTTTGGAAGATATTTTAAAAAAAATGACAGAGTAAGTTACCTGTAGAGGATGGAAGGTAAAAGACAGGCGGAAGAGGGGTGAGAACAAAATTTTCATTGGTCCCCTTGTATAAGTAACATTGTGAATGGGATACTGACTCAAATTATCAATTGTCTAAAAATTATTTAATGACGTCAGGAATGTTCATGATACACTAGCAAGTGAAAAAAAGCCTGGTAAAATAACATTACAGAATTGTTCCATTTCATATGCATATTGCAAAATATTAGAAGTAGTCATATCTGGGCAGTGGTATTTTCAAAAATATTTTTGCTTATTTTTATTTTACTTCCTAAGGTTTTACTCCCTGAATATATACTATATTACTTATAGGTATAGGTATTACTTATTTGGTAGTAAGACGAAACCAATTAAAATTGTTACAAAAATCTCCAGTATTCTAAATGCTACCTGGCATTATTTGTTATAGAAGCAAAATGTTTATCTTAATGGGGTAAGTCCAATCATTATATTCTAAACTATAAATGCCTGCCAGGGAGCTAATTTAGTGACAGAAAGCAGTCAAACCAATTTCCCATATCTTCCCAGGAATTACAACTATCAAGCACATATAGAGTATAATTACCCAATCATTTTGGGGGAAAAAATATCATTTCCTTTCCTGAAGAAGCCAGATACTCAATCCCCTACATAGGAGAAATGCCCACGGCATCTGGGCATCTGGGCACCTGTGCCTGTGAGTAGATTCACAGAGACTGCAATAGGTGGTACTCTTTAAGACAGAGCTAGTTAAAATAATTGCCCCTAATTTGTTGCAGGGTCAAGCCAGAATCCTTAATGCAGGAGAGCTGCAAGATCTAGGGGAAGGCTTGTTCCCCAGGGTAACAAGGGAACACAGAGGACGAGGGTTATCCTCAGCAGACACTGCTGACTGAGAGATGGCTGGGTTCCCTACATGCCAGGGCAGACCCTGCCAAGTCCTCACTGCCCTACCTCTACTTTCCATCGAAGCAAATGGGAGTTTTAGAGGATGATTTATCTCCTGCTGGTAAGATGGATGCTGTGGTTTTCTCTCCACTGTTAGAATAGTTTCCTATAAGTACTCTGAAAAGGCTTTTCATTTAGCAAGAACTAAATGGAATTCACCTACTTTCTTAAAAAACAGTCTATGCGCTTGTTCTTCCTTTCTTACATTACATTTTGGGGACTGATCACTCTTTGATACCAGCCATGTGTTAGACATTTTATGTGTGTCCATTTGAAGTACAGAGATTCTGTGTTGCCCTCTTAGCCTGACCTTAGCTCTTGATATATCTAGAGCCTTCCCTTTGCCCCAGCCCCAGAGCAGGCAGTCACTTGCCCAGAGAGCTTCGGAGAGTCAGGTTATCTTTTCTGAATCACAACACTCCTGATTTCTCAGGGCTTTTATCTCAACTAATATTCAGTGCATTCACTCAACTAAGTGTGGCTCAAGGTCAGCACTACAATGACCTGTTGAATATAACAAGGAACCTGTCTCTACTGAGAATCCTTGCTCTTAAGAGAGGCAGTAAGACTCTGACTTTAAAATCACCAAAGAGAAGTTGATAATTACCATTTAGAGAGATGCAGAGAATGAAAGAAAAGGAGAGCCAAATTAAGGTGAAATTTGACCTAGACCTTGAAGGATGTGAGTACTTGGACCTATAGAATAAAATAATGGAGCTCAAGCCAATGAAAACAGTCCTAGAAGAGGCATGAGGAAGGGAATTCTGGAGATTTATTATATTAATAAACCAAACTCTCTGAGTGCAGAGTAGAAAGGTAAGCTAGAAACTTAAATTAGATCATCATTTGGAGCCACACTGTGGATGATCTTGGATACCAGACAGAACTTTAGAATTTTGTGCTTAAATTTTTTTGAACAACATTAAAAAAAATAGTATAATGAAGAAATCAAAGAATATCAAAAGGGAAATAAACAAAAATCAAAACAAATGATATAGGAATATAACATACTAAGACTAATGGAAATGAAAATTTAAATATCAAAACTTATGGAATGCAGCAAGAACAATTCTAACAAGGCAGTTTATAGTAACAAATGCCTACATTAAGAAAAAAGAAAGCTGCCACGATTCTGGACGTCCAACATCGTAGCCTCTCCAGATTCCAGATGGTAGCTGGCAGGGCTCTCCCTGGTTCATAGAAGTACCAGGGCTCTCCCTGGTTCATAGAAGTACCTTCCCTGTTTTCACATTGTGGGAGAAAGCTAGCAAGCTCACTGGCATCTTTTATAATGTGCACTATAATCCCCTTCATAGGGGCTCTGTCCTTAAGATCTAATCACCTCTGAAAGTCCAACCTCCTAATGCCATCAACAGAGTATCAGGATTTCAATATAAAAATTTTGGGAGGGACAAAAATATTCCAACATCATATATCCGGAAAAGGGTTAATATCTAAACTATATAAGAATCTCATACAATATGAGGATAAAAAGCAATTCACATGGGCAAAAGATCCTGAACAAGCATTTTTCCAAAGAGGACATGCAAATGGCCAAAGCTACATGAAGAAAAAGTCGGCATTACCAACAGGAAAAAGTAAATTCAACTCACAGTGGGCGATCACCACACACCTGTTAAGGTGACTTATCAAAAAGGTAAGAGGTAACAAGCTGGCAAGAATGTGTAGAAAAGGGAGTTCCTGTCCTGTTGGTGGGTAAACTGGGATAGCACTATGGAAAATAGTACAGAAGCATCTTAAATATATGATCCAAAAATTCTACTTCTGGGTGTTTACCCAAAGGAAGAGAAATTATCTCAAATGAATATATGTACCCCCCATTATTTACTGCAGCACTATTCACAATTGCATGTTCACAACTATCCACTGACATATGACTGGCTTAAAGTCTCACATGCAGACACGTGTGTACACAGCACATACATAAATATGTACAGAGTGGAATACTATTTAGCCATAAAAAACCCAAAACACTGCCATTTGCAACAACATGGATGAACCTGAAGGACATTATACTAAATGAAAACCCAAATATGGAAGAAAAATACTAAAGGACCTCACTTATATGTGGAATCTAAAAAATGTCAAATTCCTAAAAATAGAAGGGTTGTTGTTAGGGACTAGGGCATGGGGGAAAAGGGAGATCTTGAACAAATTGTACAAGTTTGAGTCTAAGCTGAATAAGTTTGGAGGATCTAATATATAGTATGTTGATTATAATTACTAGTACTGTACAATATACTTAAAGGTTGCTGAAAGAACAGATCTAAAAGCATTGCTACCATACACACGCTAATTGTGTGAGATTATGGATATATAATTAACTTGATTGTGGTCATCATATCTCAGTAACATACACAATTCATCACATAAAATTATTACATAGATACTGTTTGGTGAATTAAATTTCAATAAAATGGGGAGGAGGCAAAAATAGTATAATTACTTGAGAGCCAACTCCCAGGATGACTAGTCTGGTGACAGTGTGGGACAGGAACTAAAAAAGAGAGTGGTAGGGAGAAGCTGAGTAAAGGGGCATTGTGAGAGCCCAGGTAGGAGTAACGGGAGGTTGGCTCACATTGGTGGTTACCCA